GGGGTGGTTTGAGTCAGACACCAGTGGGGTTCAGGGGTGGTTTGAGTTGAATACCAGTGGGGTTTAGGGGTGGTTTGAGTCAGATGCCAGTGGAGTTCAGAGGTGCTTTGATTGAGACACCAGTGGAGTTCAGAGGTGCTTTGAGTAAAACACCAGTAGACTTCAGAGGTGGTTTGAGTCAGCCACCAGTGGGGTTCAGAGGTGGTTTGAGTTGAATACCAGTGTGGTTTAGGGGTGGTTTGAGTCAAGACACCAGTGGGGTTCAGGGGTGGTTTGAGTCAGACACCTGTGGGGTTCAGAAGTGGTTTGAGTCAGACACCAGGATAGTTCAGAGGTGGTTTGAGTCAGCCACTGTGGGGTTCAGAGGTGGTTTGAGTTGAATACCAGTGGGGTTTAGGGGTGGTTTGAGTCAGACACCAGTGGAGTTCAGGGGTGTTTTGAGTCAGACACTAGTGGAGTTCAGGTGTGGTTTGAGTCAGACAGCAGTGGGTTTCAGAGGTGGTTTGAGTCAGACACCAGTGGGTTTCATAGGTGGTTTGAGTCAGACACCAGTAGACTTCAGAGGTGGTTTGAGTAAGACACCAGTAGAGTTCAGAGGTGGTTTGAGTCAGACACCAGTAGAGTTCAAGGATGCCCCGACTCAGAAGAAGTAGACTACTCTGTTGGCCCACATATATACTGCAGTTAGTAATGCGAGGCTTGGACTGAAGCCTTCTCCTCAGCCAACGAAGAGCAGCAGATTGACCGTGTCTAGACACAGCAGCTGTTTTCACCAGATGTCTTTTGACTGATAGACCATCCCTGATCTAAGGAAGAACAAAGCACCAAAGCAGATCATTACTGTTTCATGTGGTCTGTTTTGTTTTCACTTTTGTTTTATGCCTGCAAGTTTTCTACCAGAACTAGTCTCCCTCTGCATTGCCACCTGAAGTCAAATCAGCTGAAGCTGTACACTTTCAGCTCATGTCTAATTGAAACCTAAAGTATAAAGTGGTGGATCCAAGTGTTCTTTTAAACAGCTTTTTAATCGCACTAGGCCAGCTTTGACACCACTAAATACCTGAAGAACCAGTTAACTTTTTGTACTGTTCTGGTTTTTGGCTTGCAAGAATATTAATATTTTTGCTTGGTTTTATTGTTGATATGTTTATCACACAGTTGCAGATACCTAAGCTCTGTTGATAAATATCTAATTGTATGTAATCAGTACAGCTGTTTGTCACCTGATGGAGAAGCCCTTCTCGAGTGTTCCTCGTCTTCTTTATGTCTCTCCTGCACTGCATCGTTTCTGCCCAGCACTGGACACCTAAACTCTCAATCACTTCTTACAAGTTAGTGAGCAAAAGCACTAAGTGACTCACACACGAAGTGATGCCAGGTAGCAATAGTAAGGGTGGAGGGAGGGGTACATCTTCTTCACCTCTCCCCCATGCTGTAGTCCTCCCCAGCAGATCCCTGAGACCCTCTCGCTATGTTCCAGTGTCAGCAGCCACCTTCTTCCTGGTTGGCTCCACCACGCTCTTCTTCTGCTTTACGTAAGTGGAGACCACACCCACACATGCCCACAAACACACACCAGTTGATGAGAGGCAACGAAATACATTCTTTCATAATTTTTTTCAAATCATACCACTTCATTTATAAAACACTTAAAAGAGCAACAAGGTCAAACAGAGTGGTGTACTGCAAAAATAAAGCAAGCGAAGGACACAGGATAAAATGCATAGATTAAAGTCTTTTCTAATTTTGTATTTTGAAATGCACACTCACCAAAAAATAAAAAATCCCCTCACATACCGGATAAGCTACACAGACATGCATAAATTAGACAGGCACTGACACACTTTCAATAGAGGATACAAATGGCTGCCAAGTGTCCCAAAATCTTTTAACAGAACTTTTATCTTTTCCAGATGAATATGATACATCACTTCTCTTATCCAGTGTTTATATTCTGGGGGATACAGGTCTTTCCATAAAATAATGCCTCTTTTCCATTAGTAACGTACGGCTTGACTGGACCCGACTCAGCCTGGTTCCAAGGCTTTTATATTAGAACAGTACATAGAACCTGTCCCTATTTTCAGAACCCTTGACTCTGTGGTTTTAACCTTATCAAGTAGGTACGAAAATGTGACGTCAGCACGTTGTCAGTCACTGATTGGTCAGGGGCGGAGTCACTGGATCGTTCAGAAACTTTTCAAAACATTGACCGCTATTTGCAATTTCTCGGACTGGAGCAGCGTCTGGACCTATTTTAAAGATTTTAAAAACAATAATGACAACACCATGGTCTAATGCTGACATGCTGACATTTTTTGTGCTTGGTGGCCGAGGACAAAATTCAGAGCGAGCTGGATGGAGCTCTGCTGGTCTCCCCGGTCCTCTCCCCCTGAGCCTCGGAGCCAGGCCGGGCAGGGCATCATCTCCCCGGCTCCGAGTTCCGCTGGTCACCATGGAAGATCCTCCGTGGTGCCGACTCGGGGCTCGGGCTCCGGATCCCGGCCTTGTGTGCTCAGAGCTTCACTGGTCACCACAAAGGATCATACGAGCTGGTGACTCGCAGAAGGCCATTGCCAGACCCCGGCCTCGCGTGATCATGAAGGCTGAATCTTGATCCCGGCAGTCAGGCGGACCGGGGCGGGTCTGGGACGGACGGTGGAAGTGATTTTCAGATAAACTAATATTTTGTTTTTATATATAAAATGTTTTTAATAATCGTTGAAGCGATTTAAAAAAAAAAGTTTTTTAAATATTTTTAATATATTTTTATTTTATATATAAAATGTTTGTAAAAAATCGCTTCCACCGTCCGTCCCAGACCCGTCTCTGTCCGCCTGTCTGCTTGGGTTGGGGTTGGGCCTTCATGATTACGCGAGGCTGGGGTCTGGCAACGGCCTTCTGCAAGTCACCAGCTGAGCTTGGACCTGGGAAGATGACGCCTGCCCATCCTGGCTCCGGGGGAGAGGATCGTGTGAGACCAGCAGAGCTGGTCATTAAAAAAAAGAAGTACTTTTTTAGCGTTGAAAATAAAAAAAATAATAAAGTAAACGGTGCCGGCTTTATCATGAAATCCTGTTTGCACTTTAATGATTATCTGTTAACTCAGCTGAAAATCATAAAAGACACAAAATTATTGAATCACTCAAGAATATTTCCCTCAAACATGTTTAAAGAAGAGAGACGGCCTTTAGTTCATCTTTATTTTAACCCACAAATGTACAAATCACAAAACAAGAACTTTAAAGCAAAGTTAAAAATCAAAAACTATATATGTGAACAAGAAACAAAACCACACATCTGAACGATAAAAGTAGACACAATGAGTACAAATACATCAAATGATGAAGAAAATCTATACAATTTTAAATATAGATGTTTTTGTAGAATCTGGTTTATCAGAGATTTCATGATGAACTAAAGTTCATTAGCAGGATTTATATATGTGTGTGTGTGTGTGTGTGTGTGTGTGTATATATATATCCATCCATCCATTTTCTTCCACTTATCCGGGGTCGGGTCGCGGGGGTAGCAGCCTAAGTAGGGAGGCCCAGACTTCCCTCTCCCCAGCCACTTGGGCCAGCTCTTCCGGGGGAATCCCGAGGCGTTCCCAGGCCAGCCGAGAAACATAGTCCCTCCAGCGTGTCCTGGGCCTTCCTCTGGGCCTCCTTCCGGTGGGACGTGTCCAGAACACCTCACCAGGGAGGGGTCCAGAAGGCATCCTAAACAGATGCCCGAGCCACCTCAACTGGCTCCTCACGACGTGAAGAAGCAGCGGCTCTACTCTGAGTCCCTCCCGGATGATCGAGCTTCTCACCCTGTCTCTAAGGGAGAGCCAGACACCCTGCGGAGAAAACTCATTTCGGCCGCTTGTATCCGAGATCTCATTCTTTCGGTCACAACCCAAAGCTCGTGACCATAGATGAGGGTAGGAACGTAGATCCATCGGTAAATTGAGAGTTTCGCCTTTTGACTCAGCTCTCTCTTCACCACGACAGACCTGTACAGCGCCTGCTTCACTACAGATGCTGCACCTATCTGCCTATCGATCTCACGCTCCATTTTTACCTCATTGTGAACAAGACCCCAAGATACTTGAACTCCTCCACTTGGGGCAGGACTTCCTCCCTGGCTCGGAGAGGGCACTCTACCCTTTTCCGGCTCAAGACCATGGCCTCGGATTTGGAGGAACTGATCTTCATCCCAGCCGCATCGCATTCGGCTGCGAACTGCTCCAGCGAAAGCTGTAGATCACGACCTGATGAAGCCAATAGGACCACATTATCTGCAAAAAGCAGAGACGCAATCTTAAGGCCACCAAAACGGATCCCCTCAACACCTTGGCTGCGCCTAGAAATTCTGTCCATAAAAGTTATGAACAGAATCGGTGACAAAGGGCAACCTTGGCGGAGTCCAACTCTCACCAGGAACAAGCCCGACTTACTGCCGGCGATGCAGACCTGGCTCTGACACCGGTCATACAGGGACCTAACAGCCCGTGTCAAAGGGCCGGGTACCCCATACTCCCAGAGTACCCCCCACAGGGTCCCCCGTGGGACGCGGTCGAACGTCTTCTCCAAGTCCACAAAGCACACGTAGACCGGTTGGGCAAACTCTCACGCACCCTCCAGGACCCTGCTGAGAGTGTAGAGCTGGTCCAGTGTTCCACGGCCAGGACGAAAACCGCACTGCTCCTCCTGAATCCGAGGTTCAACTATCCGACGGACTCTCCTCTCCAGGACCCCGAATAGACCTTACCAGGGACGCTTAAGAGTGTGATTCCCCTGTAGTTGGAACACACTCTATGGTCCCCCTTTTTGAATAGGGGGACCACCACCCCGGTCTCCCAATCCAGGGGAACTTCCCCCCCGTGTCCACGCAATATTGCAGAGTCGCGTAAGCCAACACAACCCTACAACATCCAGAGCCTTAAGGAACTCTGGGCGAATCTCATCCACCCCTGGGGCCCTGCCACCGAGGACTTTTTAACCACCTTGGTGACCTCAGCACCAGAGATTGGAGGGCCCGACCCAGAGTCCCCATGCTCCGCTTCCTCAGTGAAAGACGTGCTGGTGGGCTTTAGGAGGTCTTCAAAGTATTCCGCCCACCGACCCACAACATCCCGAGTTGAAGTCAGCAACACACCGCTCCCACTATAAACAATGTTGGTGGCGTACCGCTTTCCTCCCATGAGACGCCGGATGGTGGACCAGAATCGCCTCGAAGCCATGCGGAAGTCGTTTTCCATGGCCTCTCCAAACTCCTCCCATGCCTGAGTTTTTGCCTCAGCGACCACCCGAGCTGCATGTCACTTGGACTGCCGGTACCCATCAGCTGCTTCTGAGGTCCCACAGGCCAAAAAGGCCCGATAGGACTCCTTCTTCAGCCTGACAGCATCCCTCACCGACGGTGTCCACCATCTGGTTCGAGGGTTGCCGCCGCAACAGGCACCAACAACCTTGCGGCCGCAGCTCCAGTAAGCCGCCTCAACAATAGAGGCATGAAACATGGTCCACTCAGACTCAATGTCCCCCACCTCCCTCGGAACATGTTCGAAGTTCTCCCAGAGGTGGGAGTTAAAACTCCATCTCACAGCAGGAGACTCTGTCAGACGTTCCCAGCAAACCCTCACAATATGTTTGGGTCTGCCAGGTCTGACCGGCATCCTCCCCCACCATCGGAGCCAAGTCACCACTAGGTAGTGATCAGTGGACAGCTCCTCCCCTCTCTTCACACGAGTGTCCAAGACATGTGGCCGCAGATCAGATGAGACGGTGACAGGCAGGATGGAGTGGATGAAAAAAAGTTTCAGGAGTTATTTGTGACAAAAGGGTGTCAGCAAAGGTCAAAGGAAAAGTTTACAAGACAGTGGGGAGACCAGCTATATTGTATGGTCTGGAGACAGTGGCATTGACAAAAAGACAGGAGAAAGAACTGGAAGTGGCAGAAATGAAGATGCTGAGGTTCTCCTTAGGAGTGACGAGGATGGATACGATTAGGAATGAGATAATCAGAGGTGCAGCACAGGTTGAACAACTGGGCGATAAAGTTAGGGAGGCCAGACTGAGATGGTTTGGACATGTCAAGAGGAGGGACCATGGGTATATTGATAGAAGGATGTTAGAGATGCAGCTGCCAGGAAAAAGCCAAAGAGGAGATATGTGGATGCAGTTAGAGAGGATATGAAGGTAGTTGGAGTGAGGACAGAGGATGCAGAGGACAGAGTGAGGTGGAGGAGGATGACTCGCTGTGGCGACCCCTGAAGAGGGAAAAGCCGAAAGAAGATATACATATATATATATATATATGTATGTATATATATATATATATATATATATATATACAC